AAATAATCACATGTACCTCAAGGGGATTAAATAAATACTTAATATAAGCTTAAGCCTGGCACCAGTACATGGCCCAAAGAAGGAACTCATCAATGGTCATGTTCACACACTGCTGTAAAAGAGGAGCCCCTTCCCTTCTGTTCCTGCAAATCACTTTTCCTCTCTTTGTAATTAAATATGGCCTAGAATTTAAACGCACAGGAATGAGTAATAAGTAGGCAAGACAGAAGAGAAGGGAAATAATTAGGAGGCTGACATGAGAAGGAAAAGTTAAAGAATAAAAATAGAAGAGGTAAAATACAGAGAATGTTGCTATAACACTTAGTAAATATGATCCTATTACTCTCTTGGCTCAAAATTGTTACAACTACTGACTGCTCCCTACTGCTGACACAACTGAATCTTAATTCCTTGTCTTTTCTAATTTTTATATCCACCTATGTTTCCCATACAAATGAAGGCCCACCTGCAAAGCACTTCAAAATGACACGAACTCACCTGAATGCACCTTTCATGTTCCTTGTCTTGCTGCTTTCCCTCATCAGCCCCCTTACCTACAATGTTTGCTGTCATCTCTCCCCACCCTAATATGTGCAGACATAACAGGGGGAGGAGGTGGCACCTAACATCTCACCGGTAGGAATGTAAAGTGGTACGACCGCCTCAGAAAACAGTTTTACAGTTTCTTAAAGAGTTAAACATATGCCCCAGCAATTCTACTCCTAGGTAGCTACCCAAGAAAAGTAAAAACATATGCCCTCCCAAAGACTTCATAGAAGCATTATTCATAAACTCCTAAAGTGGAAACAATCCACAAGTCTAACTACTAGTGAACAGAAAAGCAAAATGTGGTATGTCCATTCAACGGGACAGTATTTAGCAATAGAAATGAGCTAACTACTCATTTGTGCTACCACACAGATGTACCTCAAAAACATTATGATAAGTGAAAGAAGCCAGATGAAAACAACCACTCAATGACTAATTCCATTTACATGAAATGGCCAAAAAAGGCAAAGCAGTACAGGCAGAGAGTAGATTAGAAGTTGCCTGGGGCTAGAAGTATGAACAGGGATTAACTAAAAATGGGCACAGATCTTTTTTGAATAATAGAAATATCCTAAAATTTGACTGTAGTGATGGTTACACAAGTCTGTAAAGTTTCTAAAACTCAGTGAATTTTATGGTGTGTAAATTTTATGGTATATAAATTATACCTTAATAAGGCTCTTAAAAAAAATCTCACCAGACACATGGCCATTCACAGGGGCCCTCGGGTGTCCCACACCATTAAGGCATGAGAGATAACAAGGCTCACAGGGTAGAGGTGCATCCGGGCTCTGCCATTCATTTGTTTTGGGGTCTGAGTCCTGGGGCGCCAGGCAGGTTCTTCCACCCTGAAACCAGTGGAGTGAACGCTACTTGGCTCATCACCATCCTATTCACCTCCAAGTGTCAACTGGCAAGGAGCTGTGCCCACAGCTTGGGGTTAAGAGCAGGTACTTCAGGGGGCACTCAGTATTGCTTCTGCAGCACACTCCTGACCCAGTCTAGCCCAACTGAGCCTAGGTAAGCATGGCAGACACTCTGAAAACAGAATTTCAGGAACCACCACATGAACAAATTAACAGTCGGTCTAATTTTGACAACCTAGAGATCTTATGTAAGACAGAGGGAAAGGGGGGAAAAAGGAGGAGACTGGGTAGAGAATCTCGGTTGAAATTTACTGAATTCATACAAAAATAAGAAAATCTTCTAAGCAAATTACTAATACAAAAGATATTTCAAAGGGACCGTTGTATCTATTAGGAAACACTCACTGAAAATACCTGTTGATATCCAAGAATAAGCATTCTAAGTGTAATTCATTCTCAGTCATTAGAAGAAGCCGATGAGATTTCAAATTGCAGCAAATTGTAAACCTAATTCAAATTGCCTTTCCTCATTTATTTTAACACAGTTATGACTGAATTTCTCTATAAAGGTTAAGTACTGTTAACTATACTAAGAAGTGTTGTCTTCTATCATATTCATAGAAGTGCTCAACTTTAATTCTGTAAATCTTAATTCAATAAACTAATATCTAATCATGGAGTAATCATGTCAAATTTGAGCATCTCACCCCAGCCAGCACACTCTAAACATCTGCAATCTAGACCTCAGAAATTGGGGATTCATGAATGACTGAAGGGCCCCAACCCTGAAAGCATTTATTAAAATCACCTCGTGAGTAAAACAGGTGAAAGTTTGGAAGGGAAAACAAGAACATACTTTCTAAGCACTTTCCATTCCACTTTATATTCAAATAACATGCTAATTATTAAAACCCTTATCATTAAAAACTAATACTGTTTAATTTAAAAGTACTGAAAATGGTTTCTTTTCATCAGATCCTGTAATTTCTGAAGAATTTTAATTAACTTGGATAGAACAGCCTCATTTTTATATCCATCATAACAGCAACTCTCAATCTTTCTGATGTCAGGACCCCTTTCCACTTTTAAAATTTACTGAAGACCTCAAAGAGCTTTTGTTTCCATAGGTTATATCTACCTATATTTTCTGTATTGGAAATTTAAACTAAATTAAAAAAAAATATTTATTACCTAATTAAAAAATAAGCTCATTACATGTTAACATACATTTTTTTTAAAATTAGACATACCTATAGTTCAGAAAAATTAGTAAGGGTAGTGTTGTTTTATATTTTACATATCTATTTAATGTGTGAATTCATGGAAAATACCTAGATTCTTATATTTGCTTCTACATTTGAATTTGTCATGACCTGCACAAAGAAAAGCCAGCCTCACAGGAATATGTAACTGGAAAAGGTAAGAATATTTTAATAGGCTCATTAGATAACTGTGCCCATTTTCTTTACAATAAAGCTGGACAAGTGACAGTTTCTTAAAGGCTAGCCACAGTGCAGAATCTGAAGCTGTATCAATAAACGTACATTCTCTGTTACATTAAAATCCATTGGTTTATCTTGCACAATATCAAAATCACACTTGTTAATATGGCGGTGGACCTCATCAAAAAGTCTTTTAAGTACTGGGAAGCTGTCAAGTTCACCGAGGTAGATATGAGTTTTCCAAAATTCGTATTTTTACTTGAAAGCTCGAATTTTATCTTTGGTAACAAATATTGTCAGTTGCTCTCCCTGATGTGGCACTCACGGCATTTGTTTTCAAAGTGTACTCTAGGTTCAAGATGCGCGAAGATTCATAAAGAACATTCTTGGTGTGACTGGTTCTTTTTTTTTAACTGTGTGCATACCAGCCCAACTGAGCTAAGGCTCAGGAGTTTTACCGCTATTGCTTCTGAGCCACCAGAGTGTGCATATCAGCAGAGTGCAAAAGGCAAACAATGTCTCAATGTTATAATGAAAATAGTTTTGACCTTGTCAATCCTGTGCCCAAGGGGTCCTGCAGGCTACACTTTGAAAACTGCTGTGTTATCATATAACTGACCCCTTAACACCATCACTAAGTGGCAGCCACCAATTTAAAAAGGGGAAATGACCATTATTGCTTGTTCACGTTATCCAAGTGTATTACCCATTCCAAGAACATTAATGTAAGTAGAAGGCTACTTCTACAACTCAAATTCAATACAAAAGCATGAAAAATGAAAGCCAGTGACCATGCAAGCAGATAACAGAAACTAAGCAAACTGAATGTAATATGTAAACTTCCCTCCAATGAATTTAAAACGTAAATTTTTCTTTAATTCACCCACTTGTTTCCCCATTTGTTGGACTTTTTTGGGGTTAGGCACTTGCTTATTAGTACTGGAGATGTGGAGAGTCCTCTGTGAATGGGCTTTGTGGCCAGGATCCACAGGGTATGAATTGATCAGGAAACAGAGCAGAGGCACTAAAGCTGAATTTACCCAGTTTCAAGACTCAAGTCCCCACCCTACAAGTAGCCTGTCCTTTGTAATCTCTGAGTCGTTGTCTTCTTAGTTGGATATGAGGCATGCTCCACTTAGCACTGTGAGGACTGGATGAGATGCTTGTAAAGCATTAGTGCAGCTCCCAGCCCACAGCTGGTATTCAATAAACGGTGGCCACTACTGTGAATAAGGTCCCCTGGAGGCAGTTGGGAATCCAGAGAGGAATGGGACACACATCCAAATAATTACGACACAGCATGGGAACTGATTAACTACAAAAAGCAATGGGAGTAAAAGGGAAATCAATGGTCTGCCTAAGAGAGGAAGGTGCTATAATGAACAAGCCACCATCTCAAAGGAAAAGGGAGCTGGCCCGATGGAGGAGGGGAAGGGGAAAGTGCATCCAGATACATGCGAAGGCTGGGCACAGGACGGACAGCAAGGGAAACGTTCTGGGACTAGCTCACCTAGGGCCATCAATGCCATGCTGAGGAAAGCGAACATCTGAAGCTTTTCTCTTTTTATTATTACAAAGACTGAGGGATTATAAACACTCAGTGTGAGCAGGTCATCTGGTCTCCTGTTGTCCCCCTGGCCCCCAGTATACACACATTATACTTAAAACACGAATGAGGCACATACTGGGCAAAGCCGTTTTGTATTCCCTCAGACACTTATAAAATCTTGAAGCACATAACTTTATCTTCATCTCAGCCCCGTCTGTGCCTCAGGTCCCTTCAGACAGTGGAATTTACAGGTTGCTTTGCTTAACAGAGTGAGAAGAAATAGAAAGTGGGTCTAGTGGCCCATGTTTTCCATCCTGATTCCACCTGTTTGGGAAGCCTCTTGTCACTGTGTGAGTGAGCCCTGAAGCCCAAAGCGGCCGCCCGTCTCTTGCTCTTTGGCAGCAGCAGCAGGGCACCACAAGGCCAGCATGAGGACAGAACACAGGTGCAAGTCTGTGACCCACGGCGATCCTGCAGGTGCCCATGGATGTGCAGTCAGCGTGCGTCCACGGCCAGCTGTGCTGCTCCACACTCATGCCTGGGACTTGACCACTAGGACAAAAGCCACTGAAATCACTGCAGTGTCTTACTCACCCAGAATTTTACGAGGAAGAAGGCATTTTGAGGGCCCTTTCCAAACAGTTCCTTTAAGCCACCTTTCTTTTCAGGAAATTTGTCATAAATCTGACGAATGTCCACTGATTCGAGCAATGGGTCACTGTAAGAATGGTTGGCATGCCCAATGTGCACGAAGAGGTGTTTGTTGTACTGTAAGAAACCAACAGAAACATTCCCATTACAAACCCTGTGAACAACCTGGGACACATCCATCTTGAACTGAAGAGCAAGTAGTCATAAAATTCCAGAATTATGCCATGAATAACTGAGGGTCTGCACCTTTGAAAAGATGAAGATGTTAAGAAAAGTCATTAGAGCTTAGGGCAAAACAATCATTGTCTTTTTAAAAAAAAAAAATTAAAGTTGATATACAAAAACACATTAGTTTCAGGTATATAACAGTGAAACAGTCATTGTCTTTTACTGACAAGGGTATAGATTTTTCCAATGCCTAAATAAGGCTTTTTGTAGATAGAGTGGTAAACAATAGCTTAAATTACCCAACTACCAAACCAAGGAACAATTCTATTACCCAGTTTCAGGAGACTCAGCTGAAAAGTACAGCCACGCCCTTTGGAACCCATTATTTACAGTCTAAGCCCAATGAAAAGCATGTGCATAGTTAACTCAGATCCTCTCCCAGGATGCATTTCTCACTCCAGCTCCCCCAGCAACAGCAGGGATGCAGCCCTCTGAGCAATGGTACCTACCTACTTCTTCCAGCAGGAATGAGCGCTAAGCCTCTTTTCACTAGTCCCCTTAGTAACCAACCTAAAACTTCTGCATAAGGGCCAGTCAATATGTGGTTATCAGAGCGAAGTTAGGGTCAGGGGAAAAGATTCATGGCATAAGGCTATGAGAGGCTGGTAACAAAGGAATACCAGTTACCTGCATTCAAGAAAAAAGAAAGAAACAAAACCACCAAAACCCTACTAAGACATTTAACCTACAAAGGAAAACCTTTCTTCTCTTTGCTTTGGTGTAAGATATGGTAACTGGGCCACAAAGGAGAATGGCCAAACCAATGGTTCTCACCCAGTTTGCAGCAGAATTACCAAGGAGTGTTTAAAAATCACCAGTGCCTGGCTCCACCCAGACTAGATTGGAACCCTGAGCATGAGGCCAGGCATCAGTAATTCTGAATGCTCCTAGGGTGAATCCCAACATGCACCTAAGTTTGATAACCAGTGGCCTAGATTCTCTACTCCGGACCCTCCCTGCCTGCCTTTCCTAATGAATAGGCCGTAATACCAACCTAATGGGACACAGACAAAGACATCTGGGGGTGCAGGGGTTCCAGGGAGCTCAGAACACAACAGAGTTCATAAGAGAAATCTCATGTCCCTACTCACCTAGCAGTCCCTACTCACTTTTCAAGTTTAAATTGGCATTTCTCCAACTAGAGTCCTTCTGAGTACTGATCCCATAGGAAATGAGAAACCCCAAAGAAAAGAAGGATTGGTCATGGCTGTCTACCAAGAGTACTGCAAATTAGCCATGACACTGGGCAAGTGCTCCCCCAGTCTCTAAAATGGGGACAGTGGTGGCATCTACTTCATAGAGTTTAAATGAGGCACTGCTTATAAAGAGCGCACTAGAACTCCTAGACCCAACAAAGTAAACAATAAATGCAGCTATTATGATTTTTTATAAAACTTCCTTCTTTGAGATTTATGGCAAATATTAGCATATTTAAAGCACTGCAGTAAAGAAACATTTTTTAACCTTGTGTAGCCCAAAGTTTCTCAAACTCATTTGATCACAACCCTGTAAAAATATCCTAAGGAAGTGCTGGTTCAAATCCGTGACCTGTTAGCCACGCTGTGGATCTCTGGCCACAATGCCAAAGGGCAAGAGGTGCGACCCCCCACGTGATGCCAGTTGTCCACAGTGTTGCACACATGGGGAGTGTGGCCAGGGCCTGGCATCTTCCAGGAGAAGGCTAAACCCCTTTCGTGTTCAACATCAGAGAGATATCTTAACCAAGGCTTCAAAATCCCTCAAAGGTATCAGCTATCAGAAATGAAAAACAAAATGGAATCTATCAAGCTCTGACGTGGTCCCAGCCTCTGTTCCTTCCAGCTACCTGGTAACTTTCAGGTAGGACTGAGACCTGGAAACTACTATGAAAGAACAGAGTGTGCCTGTGCTGGAAGAGAAATGGAAAAAAAAATTAAGTAAAAGCCACTGCTGTGTTAGGGAGGTGGGCTATGAGGTGGGGTGGAGTGCCTTTGATCTTTCTGTACATTTTCTCCAAAGCTGTCACATCATCTTTTCAATTACAAGCAAAGAAAAGTTCACAGAACTATATAAACTATATAAAGTGCTACTGCTTCTAATCTCATCCGTGGGTAAAAGGAGAAAAAATAACACAGGCAAAGTTGGGGGCAGAGACTTCGGGGTGAAGGGAATGTGAAATGAGAAGGTGAATGAGGGTGTGTGCCTGTCTGGCTGCTCTGTTCATTCTCCGGTTATCCACCACTATAGGGAGTGAGGCCTTCTGTATGTCCACCTACCTCACCCTTATTAATAGTTTCTACAGCGAGCCCCCAGCCCTACCCAGCTCCAGGAAGCTCCATTTCTGTCATTACCTGCGCTGTCTACAGGCAGTGAGCTTATGGGAAAGAATGGAATACAAGCAGAGCCTCGGGGACACCTGTGAATAGGGCCTGAGTCCCTCATTTGAGCACCACCCTCTCAGCTCTTCTGTCTGGCCAGTCCCCATGGGCTAGAAGCTGTGAGACTTAAGTCTTTTTGCTCTTGACATTAAAAGCCCTGGCATTGTACTTTGGAACTCAGGGATGACAGCCCGGACCTGCTACATGTCAAGAGGTCAGGGAAGTGAATGGAGAGTAAAATTCAATGGGGGCACTGAAGATACAGCTGAAAAGCAAGGTGTTGAGTGGGAACCGTGAAAATGCTGGAGCCACACAAGAACCTGAAACCTCAGTTTTCTCATGTGTATAATGGGGATGTAATACCTCTAAGGCAGAACAGATCTGACTGAGCATGAAAGGAAATAATGCACAGAAGGGGCTTGGCACAGGGCCTAGCATAAAAGATGTGTTCAATAAATCGTAGCTGCTAACATTACTACTGTGTTGGTTTATTATTATGTGAGATTAACAAGATCCTGGGGTAGAAGCACAGAAATATTGCTACTTCAGCTATCCCTCCTGCCTAGCAAAGAAAAAACAAACACAAGCAAGCCCACGCTGGGAACAGGCTGTGAAGCCGAGGGACTGTGCAGTTCCTTAATGATGGCCCACCCATTAGGAGCTTCCCAGGGTGTGGGCCTCTCACGTGTGCCTGGAGGAAGCAAAAGACCTCGCATCCATTCAGGGTTGTGTGTGATGTGCTTTCTATATATGTGACCTCAGGTACTCCTTGCCTCACAATGACACTGTAGGTGGATTTGATTAAAATCATTTTACAGACGAGGAAATAGGAGCTTAAAGATGAACGGACTTGCCTGAGGTCACACATCCGGGAATAGTCCTGGAATTAAGAATAAAACTTGGATCTGTCCACACCACCACCCATGCATTTGCTGCAAATACCAACCACACGGTCTCCCAAAGAAAATGCCCACACCCTTCTAATGCATATCTCTTTTTGTTTTTATTTGAAAGTTGATTTGAGAAAAAAGAAAGAAGCTAAACATTGTTTTCAGAATTCTAAGATGTTAAATTAGAATTCGGGAGAAACATAATGATTCACAGATGCATCAGATAGTCTTCAAAGGTTTCTATTTTGAGGAAATTACCTTTGTGCCCAAGTGGCTGAAAGGAACTGAGAAGGGGCAGGCTGTCTTTGCCAAAGGAAATTGGGCACTGACTCTCCAAGGCTGGTGACTTGAAACCAAACCCTGACCTGACTGTTGGCACCTGAGTGGCTTTGTTCCTGCCAAGAGATGACTTTGTTGCTAAGAATACAAAGGACTAAAGAAGGTGTCCTGGAGACCACGGCAGTGAGACAAGCAGAGCTCCCTCTCCCCCTAATTCAACCTGGGTAGGTCAGGAGTCTCTCTGCCCCCAAATCCAGAAGGCTGAAAAGAAGTCTATCTGACATGTGTGGGTTCAAGTTTTAATGAAATTAGAACTCTTAAAAACCATCTGATGAGGCTCTACCTACTACTTCCCATCCTGCCAGTTCTCCTTACAAGGAAAGGAGGCCAGGGTAGACACTTCCTTTCCTGTCTCCTCCACCCTCCCAAGTAAATCCCATTTTCCTTCCAGCAGTATTGGTTCCCCAAAACCAAAGGTGGAACACAAAACCAGAAAAGGGCAGTTCTATCCTATAAGGCAGAAAACAAATATTTGAAACAAACAACAAACCAAATCCCCAAGTGTTGGGGGTAATATATAAGCAGAAACAGGGTGAAGGTCCATGAGTCACATACACCAAAGCCTAAGACTAAATTTCCTTGATATTCAAAATAGAGATTAATACTGGCTTGTTCAATGACAAAAAAAGCCCTCTAGGCACTCAGGAGATATGTTTATTACCCACATATATGCTAGGCGCACTGTGCTAGGCACAGGGAATCCATGAGCCAAAAATACAAAGGCCCTCTCCTCATAGACCCCACAGAGTGACTGAGTATGCAGAGCTAGCTTACTGCCTCTATAGTAAATCATGTGTTGCCCATGTAAATATGTGTTCTCAAAGATTCCTAGAGAAAAGACTAGGGTTAAGAACAATCAATGTCCCCACTCTTGTATATCAGATGACTTAAACCTGCTTTTTTACGTGAATGACTTTATTCTCCAGCACTGTTACTCATTAGCAAGGAGAACATGTGTGGAACTTGCCTTGAGAATGTGAGTGAATTTTCACATCTCTAAGGCAAAACCATGGTGAAAACCTAGTTATCCTAGTTATGTGAGAGAATAATACACTCTCAGGTCTATAAGGTTTCAGAAGACTGACCTTCCTTGTGACTACTCTCAAAATAGAGGGGGATGGGGTCCTAACCCAGGAGAGAGGAAGAGGAACACTCAGCCAGCGGCTGGGCTGCGGACCCAGACAGCTGCCGGCCCAGAGCGGGCAAGGAGCTGGAGGGGTCCCGGAGGGATGTCACCAAGGGGACATGAACCTGCGAGATTCCCTCACTTATGTGACCATCTGGAGAAGAGTTTGAGATTCTG